GGATCTCAACTTGAGGTGTAACGTTCTCCCCATTCCGGTTTTCCGCCCGAGCTGTGCCACGTGCCGGCTCTTTGTTCAATTTTGCAAAACAACTTTTTCTAGAGGAAGCGGTCTCTGCGGGAAGAGCTTCAAAAGATGGCCCAGATCAACTTCGCCGCTCCTGACGTCATGGAAGACTCAGGTAGGTTGGTTTTGACCCATTTTAAGACCTGCCCCTTTTTCCATTTCCTGCTTTTGTTTATTTCCTTTTGCTTAGCTAGCTGGGCCAGGGGTAAACTGTGCAGGGAAGATATTTTTAAAACTTAAAATGTAAATTGTGGCCGAGATGAAGGTTGAAATAACACCTGGAGGATGTTAAAAATAGTCCCTCAAATTTAAAAAAATATCAGAAAAATGCTTTGTTTTACTTTGAACAGTAAAACCTAACCCAATTACCCCAAGTTTATTCAATAGAACTTCTTCTCTTAATTCCTATTACTAAGAGCAAATCCAGTTGTCTTCAGAAACAAGTTTTAATTCATCCTAATGCATGCTTTAAATTAAGTAATTGGAGAAGATTGCTTTAAGGCATGCTTTAATTAGATAATTAGAGAAGATTAGGTATTGGCATGTTAGCACGCATTGGCACCAGGTTTTTGTTGCTGTAATCTTTTATGTTTTAACTGGTTGAATGTTATAGTTTTTAAAATGATTTTATTTTATTTTTTTAATTTGATTGGGAACTGCCCAGAACTGGTTGAAAGATGGGCAGCCATCTCACTGTTTTAAATAAATAATTGTTTAAATTTAAAGTCATCCATTGTGCTATCTGGAAAAAAATGAAGGATAGTTTTTGTAAGGGAAGTAATGTCACCTTTGAAACAACTGCTGTAAGATGATTTCTATTTTTTTAGCACCCAGAAACGAGACCGTTCAAACCGGGAATCTTTTTGCCCTTGAAATGTTGCTGGGTCCAGCTCCTCTTTTTTAACATGCCCTAATAAAAACTCCACAAAATTTTATGTCTGTTCACTTTTTAAAATCCATCAACTTGAATGCGTATTTCTGATAAATTGCTTGCGTTCTCTGATCCAAACCAAAGGGAAACTTTTTGAAGACAGCAAAGTCCATATTCTCGATAGAGAAGACGGCTAGTTTGAAAGAGGAGTCGAAGAGGCCATCTGCGTTAAAACTGAACAGTCCTCTGTTAACAGGGGGGGAAGGATACAACATCACCTATCTCCTATTTACAACACAGTCCTTTCAGCACTTCCAAGAAGGCTCCACGCCCATTTGCACTATTCAGGTGACCCCTGAGGGCACTGATAAACCTCCAAGTGGCCTCAACGACTCTCAGAGGGAGTGCAAATGACCAGATGACTGCAAGGAACATAAACCCTTTCTCCATCATTCATTCAAAACTGAAGAAGCTTCTTGGATGAGAAGTGAAACATCTTCAAGGAAAAACAAAGAAAGTCTAGTTGCCTTTTGGAAAAACACCTTTGAGACTATGTCCCCTAAGTCGTCTGGGGTTTGTACCATCCAGGGTTTTTAATATGCCTATTATTAAAGGCTGCTGGGACTACAATTATCCAAATAGAGGCAGAATATAAATGAATGCATGCATGAATGAATTTGTATTGCACAGCTGTGAGAGTAACTAATGACCTATACTATCATAGTATTATTGGCCCTGCACAGCTCTTAAAATCAGACATTGGCCCAATATCAAATAATAGATTGTCTTTAACAAATGGCTGTCCAGTATCTGACTAAAGACACCCAGTTACGTGAATCCCACCATTCCTGCTGATCCATTTCTTCCATTCTTAAACAATTCCACCCAGATTTATCTTGCAGTGTACGATATCTCTTCTGATGGTTTTCAATCTAAATGATTTCACTTTTTTTTCATAATATTGGCCATTTTCAGTGTCTATAGCTTCATAAAAAGAGGCAGCTAGCATCCCTCCCAGTATGTCAGAGGAGCTATAACTAATTCAGAATAAAATGGAATTATTATTGATGATGATGATGATGATGATGATGATGATGATGATGATGATGATAAAGTTGGAAGGGACCTTGGAGGTCATCTAGTCCAACCCCCTGCTCAGGCAGGAAACCCTATACCATTTCGGACAAATGGCTGTCTAGTTTCTTCTTAAAAACTTCCAGTGTTGGAACATTCACAGCTTCTGGAGGCAGGTTGTTCCACTGGTTAATTGTTCTAACTGTCAGGAAGTTTCTCCTTAGTTCTAGGTTGCTTTTCTCCTTGCTTAGTTTCCACCCATTTCTTCTTGTCCTGCCTTCAGGCGCTTTGGAAAATAGCTTGACTCCCTCTTCTTTGGGGCAGCCCCTGAGATATTGGAACACTGCTATCATGTCCCCCCTCGTCCTTCTCTTCGTTAAACTAGACATACCCAATTCCAGCAACCGTTCCTTATATGTTTGAGCCTCCAGTCCCCCAATCACCTTTGTTGCTCTTCTCTGTACTCTTTCTAGAGTCTCAACCAGTGGTACGGGTACCACCTATGGTACATTGGCACCTGGCAGGTGGTACGCGACCATCCTAGAAAAGTGGTAGCTGGGGAGGGGAATGAGCTGAATGGTGGCAGCACCGCACAAGCCTGAGTGAGAGACGGATGGAGCTGCAGGGCTGTCAGGGCTCAGCGGAAGAGCCAGGATCAGTGCCAGGCTCCAGCTGGAGCTCGGTGCTGATCCTGGCGCTTCTGCTGAGCCCTGAAGAAGCACCAATCAGCCTGAAAGCAGCACTGATCCTGGCGCTTCTGCTGATCCTAGAAGAAGCGCCGATCAGCTGGAATGTCGCAGCATCTCCAGGGTCTTGTGATTTACATTCAGATGCTTGGCAACTGATTCATATTTATGACGGTCACAGTGTCCCAGGGTCATTTGAAGTGACCAAAACCTGCTGCAACTACCCAGCAGACGGGGGGAATAAAAACCAAACACCCCCCACCCCACCCCCGCTGCCAATCCTCAACAGAAATGCTCACAACAATGAAAACCTCAGACAGGAGGAAGAGCGCCTCCGGGCGGGCAGGCAGGTGTCTTGCTCGGCTGTGGCTTGGGGGGCACTTTTTTCAGTGCCATTGTAACTTTGAACAGTCACTAAGCGAACTGTTGTAAGTCGAGGACTACCTGTACTTTATCACTTTTTTCCTTTTTTTTTTTTTGGGGTCATCAAGTTTTTGACATCTTGCTAGGCGACTGGTGGTACTCGGATGTTGCCATATCCTAAAAGTGGTACAATGGATGAAAAGGTTGAAAAGCCCTGAGCTAGGTGACTTTGGAGCAACCACTAGAAAACTGAAAGTTCAAGTCTTGCCTTAGCCATGAAAACCTCTTGAGTGACCTTGGACCAATCAATAGGAATCTGAGTTCTAGTCCTGCCTTAGCCATGAAAATGAGCCGGGTGACTTTGGGCTGATCACCAGGAGACTGAGTTCTCGTCCCTCCTTAGGCATAAAAGCCAGCTGGGTGACTTTGGGCCAGTGACTCTCTCTCAGCTCAACCCACCTCAGAGGGCTGTTTTTGTGGGGAAAACAGGAGGAGGGAGGTGTGTTGGATATTTTCGTCGCCTTGAGTTATTTGTAAAAATAACAAAGGTGGGATAAAAATGAAATGAAATAAAAGTTCCTCCAAATCCTAATTAGCAACAGATTTAGATTCAACTGATTTAAAGACTTAAGTTGAAGGAGCTTCCTTAGATGTAAAAGAGTAGATAGCAAACAAGTTCTTCCTCACTTCCTGCTATGCTCAGCTTGAATACGGTGGTCTGTTCTGGGAAAACAAAACTATAATTATGTTTGTTTTCTGCTTTTACTGAAACCTCTCTATAGTCATCAATGGAATTTTATGTGATTCAGACCCGAGTAGATTTTCTAGAATCTCTCCCACCTATTTAATCTGGTTTAATACCAAGATTGCAAAACTAACACAAGAAGTCAAGTCACAAAGAGTTTCTAGAAGTGAATGTAAAAGACCTGGTTGATCATAACTGCTGTGATAGTTGTTTCACCATCAAGTGATGCAACTTTTAAACCTTTGGAGTCGGATGCAGTAGTGTAGCTAAACCCAGTTGGCTAGGCATTAGGAGTTGGGAATTATTGTCATTTTCTTCAGGAACTTCTGGCTGAGATACTTCCAGCACTTTTTGTTCAAATATATAATGCTATGACATCAGCACCGTGAACAATTATACTGATTTTGCTCATTGGTCCAAATGATAGAACAGGATTGACATAGTCTTTAAATCTGATTTTTCTCAGACTCTGTGATCCTGTTCTGGACCTTCTCTGTTGTTTTAACCCCAGAATACTTTTAAGTGTTAGTATCGCAGAAATTGCCTTTGTAACTTTGACCTCTTTTCAGATGTTCAAAAACACATGAACTTTATTTTTTTTTTTAAAAAAAAAAAAAAGATGGTGAACTCAATAAGATCAGAAGGCCAACATTTCTCATCCAGCATGTAATTCTTATAAAAGCAAAGCCAGTGCTTAGATGCACAGATGAAAAGCTGAAATAAAATTCTATGGCACGCAAGAGCTCTAAGAAGCTTGCTCTAAGAAGTTTACACTTTTAAAAGTGCGAGTTCTAACATTCTGGTTTTGCTTTCAAGGAAAAACATCAAGACAAAGACAATATAAGTGGGTTGGCACACAGGAACATAAAGGCTGGGCTCTCTCATTTAAATAAGGTAAACCACATTATGGAATATTATAGACTTTTAATATATTACTACTAATTAATCAGTGACTCGTCTCCAGACGTTGTGGGTGCCCCCAACACTGGAGTTTTTTAAGAAGAGATTGGACAGCCATTTGTCTGAAATGGTAGGTTCTCCTGCTTGAGCAGGGGGTTGGACTAGATGACCTCCGAGGTTCCTTCCAATTCTGTTATTCTGTTATCTTTGTAAGCCATTCTGACTTTATTTGTTATTGATGAAGGGGGAAGAAGTAACAATGATCCCGAATAATAAAACATGAGCCATACATGCAGACATTCAGATATGCATCTTTATTACACTATAAATGTTTTGACAGATAATATTCAGAAGTCGGTATAATACATTTAGAACAATGCAAGAATTTGGGTTGATAAGCTGCCTAGATGTTTTTAAAAGCTGTACCATGAGACATTTGAAAAGTAAAGCCATTTTCTTTAAAAAGTTGAGAAGGCAACCAGGAAAGCTTGTAGCATGATTCTGTCCAGTCAAATCTTGAAATCCTTAGATGATTCTTCCACAACATCCCAGTTATGTTTCCCCATTTTTCTTTCATTCCTATACACAAGGAGGAAGAGACAATTCTGATTATCTGAGAGAATTAGAATGATACCCCTTGTCCCAAACACAGACCATTTTCAAACATTTAAATATTGGCAATATGCCTTGAAATTTAGACTTGGTTTATATCATCGTGAAATTGCATTTAATTTAAGGGTCCCACTCAAAGCCTCGTGAGAGCCATTCAATCATTCAGATGTAATGGATTTCAACTTCCATCAAATTTAGCTATATTGAGGGAAGGCCAATCTACCTGTGGCTATACAGCAATCGGGATCAATGGGAGCCCAAGTTGGTTGAATGATTTTTAAGCCCATGGCTCTAAGGACTGGAAACACAAACACACACACACATTCACATCACTATAGTCCAGAAATGATTTAATTCAAGCCTAGTTTTATAACCTTCACTCAAGCATGGTGCTTCCCTTTCATTAGCCTGTATTGCAATAGATGTGTGGGTGAGCATACACTTGAATAAATCTGTAAAGTCTTTAATTAGCAATATTCTATGGATTACTGATCCTCTAATCCCCCCTCCTAAGAAGGTCCATCTAGTACAGGGGTAGGCAACCTTGGCTCTTTTATAACTCATGGACTTCAACTCCCAGAATTCCTGAGCCAGCCATGCTGGCTCAGGAATTCTGGGAGTTGAAGTCCATGAGTCATAAAAGAACCAAGGTTGCCTACCCCTGATCTAGTAGGACCAAGAAGAACTTTCTCTGTGGTGGCTCCCTCTCTGTGGAACATCATCCCTGCAGAGATAAGATTGGCCCCCACTTTGACATTTTTTCCACAAGGCCTGAAGACCTGATTTTGCCAATGGGCCTAGAGATTTCAGAGAGGAATAGAGCCCATCAAATGGCTCATTTGATTGTTTTTGCCAGGGTGGGCGGGTTATTTTTAAAAATATTTTTATATTGGGTTTTTATCCTGATAAGCTACCCAAAGACATAGAGAGTGAGCTGGGTGGCCGTATAGTCAGTGGTGGGATTCAAATATGTGAACAACTGGTTCTCTGTGTGGATGCCACTTCCAGAAGTCCATTCTGGGCCTGGGCAACAAAAAAATAGCTACCAGTTCTGCCGAAGTGGTGCGAACTGGCTGAATCCCACCACTGCATATAGTCCCAAAGGTGCTTTTTCACGAGGCAATTGGACTTTCTTGTTTTTCTTTGAAGACGTTTCGCTTCTCGTCCAAGAAGTTCCTTCAGCTCTGAAGAAGAGCTGAAGAAACTTCTTGGATGAGAAGCGAAACATCTTCAAAGAAAAACAAGAAAGTCCAGTTGCCTCGTGAAAAAGCACCTTTGAGACAACCATAACCTGGATAACTGAGACTCTCCATAGGCAGCCATATAGGCTTTCTTAAATAAATAAATAACTTTGGATTCTTTTTCCCATTATTACCAACCATGTTGGAAAGGGTTGATGTAAGTAAAAAAAAATATGAACATCTAAAGAATCTCTTAGGTGAATTACCCAGGAAGAGATGGAGAGCTTTGTTGTGGTTGTTTCATTCTTCAACCTGTGTACTAAATGATAAGAAGCTTTCCTTCTGAGAAGACATTCAGATCAGGAAAATATCTCCCAGAGGTGGTGAAGTTTTTTTCTCCCTGTGCATTCACAATCCCTCCCTTCTAATTATTTTATCAAAAACGCTGCACGCACACATACACAAAGAGAGAAAACCCTGAGATGGTTGAATGTATGAGTGCATTCATGATTTTGCTATGTGCACCCTGCCTGAGAATTGGGTGAAAACATTGTACCTGTGGGAGTTGGAGTTAGAAACTGCCCTTTCTCCCACTTTAAAGCAGTGTTTTTGCTAAGGAAGTTGGATCCAAAAGTTTTGTACTCGCAAGATGGAAAAGCAAATCAAGATACATTTGTGAATTGAAAATAAAAGAGTTCAACCCAGAGCACATTCAATTCATGCTTTACAGGCTGTTCCTGGACTTATGACCACAATTGAGCCCAAAATTTCTGTTGCTAAGTGAGACATTTGTTAAGTGAATTTTGCCCCATTTTACGACCTCTCGCCACATTTTAAGTGATTCACTGCAGTTGTCAAGTTAGTAGCACAGTTGTAAAATGAATCTGGCTTCCCCATTGACTTTTCTTGTCAGAAGTTCGCAAAAGGTGATCACGTGACTCTGGGACACTCTGACTGTCATAAACATGAGTCCGTTGCCAAATGTCTGAATTTTGATCACATGACCATAAGGATGCCACAACAGTTGTATGTGTGAAAAGCGATCATAAGTCACTTTTTCTAGTGCTGTTGTAACATTGAACGGTCACTAAATGAATTGTAAGTCGAGGACTACCTGTACTGAATTCTCAGTTCTGGCTTGGGTACAGTTGTAATAAGATAAACTTCCAGGCTAAATTGCCAAAATTGAAACCATTGACATTAAGTGGATCAATCCCCTGTCCTAAAAGAATCTACTTACCTCATCTTGACCATGCCCAGTAGGTGAGTATCAAGTTGAGAGCAACACTCTTGAAAAATATTATTCTTAGTCCCAATACAGTGAGAGAGAGAAGATTCAACCTTTCGTCTGAAGAAAAAGAAGAAAAAAAGAAATAAATATCAAGATTTCCTAGTGACCATTGAGATTGGTTGCTTATGATGTTTGCCTAGACCAGGGGTGCGGAACTATGGCCCTTTTAGGATCTGTGAACTTCAACTCCCAGAATTCCTGAGCCAGCATGGCTGGGTCCAGAATTCTGGGAGATGAAGTTCAAAAAATATTGGTTGGTCTAGCCAGGGGTGGGGAAGTATGTCAACAGGTGTGGGTCCCACCAAGTTGACGAGCTGGTTTCAGAATCTGTCAAAGCTTTAGGGGTCTCTACTTATGCCACGTGCTCCAACCTTCCTGATGTGAGGAAGGAGCAAAAGTTTGGGGCAAGCAGAATTGACCAGGAACAGCAGAATAGACAAAGATCTTTCATGTTTTGGCTTCCCTCTTCCATTATGGGTTCCATAAGGACCCCATAGGACTAAGTCTATTGAACATGTAAGACCGGAGGCGCTCAAGGCTCTTATACCTCTCAGTCTCAAAACATCTCAACACTGATGATGTTACCTAGTGAGGGTAATGAAACCTCTGCAAGAAAACAAGCAAGCTCAGAGAACACCAAGGACCCCTCAAGTAAGGATGTACTTGAATGTTCAAAAAATGATTCCGCAGTGGAGGAGTGTGGATTAAAATAAAATCGCAATGTCAGCCATACACAACTTAAACCTTGCTCTTTTTTGTGTGCGTTGGGCCTACCACACATAGTAAATAAGAGGCGGGACTTAGGTCTGGCATTCACAGTTACCATCTTGACTTTTGTGAGATTCCCTCAAGCCCTACTGAAGACTTAACACAACACTCTGTTTTTATTTCAACTTCTAATTGATATATCTCATTCATATACCTATATTGGTTTAGGGTCTCCTGTTCGAGCAGGGGGTTGGACTTGAAGACCTCCAAGGTCCCTTATGTTAGGATATTAAATTTAGTGGCTGGAACAGTTAAGTGTACAATGGGCCAGAACACACAGTTGTAGTTGATTGGTTGGAGAGTGTTGACTCATGCATGAGGCTATTCTATGCTATGATTGGTTGCTATGGGGTATAAAGGGGGAGTTTTCCTTTTTTCCACGCCTTTTTCTTCTGTGAGCTCTGTCTGCTGTTTGAATTTACCTCATGATTTTCCTGACTATCTTGACTGTTGTTTGAATTTACCTCATGATGTTCCTGACTATTTTGACTGCTCTTTGAATTTATCTCATGATATTCCTGACTATCTTGACTGCTGTTTGAATTTACCTCATGTTTTTCCTGACTCTCTTGATGGCTGTCCATTTGAATGTAAAATCTATTTATTTATATAAAGTTACAAGTTCGTGTCAGTGTTTCTGACTTCATGTGGAACAGTTGCTGCGCAATTCCCTGACACCTTCCAACTCTGTTATTTCAATATGAGCTCTTACCCACAGTAGACATACCTGTTTCAAAAGCTGGAGTGCCGGACGGTGTATTTTTTGAACAGGTATCATCCCCTATAACAACAACAACAGCAACAAAAATCATTAATGATTCAGATTATGATAAAAAACAAGACAGATTTCTGGAATCTGGAATGTTTTTGTCAAACACCAATATTTTCATTGATTTACCTTGTGTTTCAGCTTTGTAGGGGATGCCTTTGTAAGTAGCAGAGCAATGAAACTGGTCATCATTTTTGCCCCAAATGACAACCCCAAGGCTGGCTGATTCTTTATTGTTGCCGTCTTTTACGACCACAGCAGAGCCATTGGCTGGTTCTGAATTCACATCGATGGGATTAGGTGAATAATCAGTAATGAGGCAAGCGGCCACATTGCTTGCTTCATTTTCGGACTTCAGATGGTAGACAGAAGGTACTGAATCAGTCAGATCTACAATAAAAACAGACATTGCTCAGAAACATGAGCTGAGATCTGAAAATCTTGGAAAACACATACAAGTCGTCCTAGATTTACAACCGTTCATTTAGCAACCATACAATGGCACTGAAAAAATGTAATTTACAACTGGTCCTCCCATTTACAATGGCTGCAGCATCAACAGAGTCATGTGATCACAATTCAGGTGCTGAGCAACCATCATGAATTTACAATGGTTGTCATTTGTGACCTTCCCAGTTGGGCTTCCGACAAGTAAAGTTAGTGGGAGAAGCTGCATTCACTTATCAACTGGGGGATTTATTTAACAATTACAGTGATTCACTTCACAACCGCAGCTAAAATGGTCATAAAATCAGAGCATGACTCACTTAACAACTGCCTCACTTACAGAAAAAATTCCGATCCAAACTGTCATAAGTTGAGGACTTGCTGTAAAAGTTACATCACACCAATAAAGGGTATGCTGTACCTTCTCATCTATTAGTTCTACTTCACATTGTACTCTGTCATAAGAGGCAATGAAGTTATGGAAACATCTGTAATTTTAAACTATTCTAAAGAGTAATTAACTAAATAATGACACTAAGCTGGCAGGAATAGCCAACACCCAGAAGACAAGCTCAGAATCCAAAAAGATCTTGACAGACTTGAACAATGGGTCCTATCCACCAAAATTATGCTGAATGTAGAGAAAAGCAAGGTTTTACAACTGGGAGGAAAAACCAAAGGTACAAGTACAGATTAGGTGAAACCTGGCTCAAAAATAGAAACTGTGAAAGGGATCTTGGGGTCCTAGTCGACGATACCTTAAACATGAGCCAGCAGTGTGCAGCAGCAGCCAAAAAAGCTAATAAAATCCTTGGTTGTATCAAAAAGGCATAGACTCAAAATCACATGAAGTATTAGTACCACTTTATAAAGCCTTAGTAAGACCACATCTGGAATACTGCATCTAGTTCTGGATACCACATTACAAAAAAGATGTTGAGACTTTGGAAAAAGTGCAAAGAGCAACTAAGATGATTAAAGGCCTGGAGACCAAAACATATGAAAAACGATTGCAGGGTTTGGGAATGGCTAGTCTAGAGAAAAGAAGGACTAGGGGGGGACATGATAGCAGCCTTCCAGTATTTGAGAGGCTACCAAAAAGAGGAGGGGGTCAACTTATTCTCTAAAGCACCAGAGGGCAGGACAAGAAGCAATAGGTGGAAACTAATCAAGGAGAGAAGCAACCTGGAATTAAGGCAAAAATTCCTAACAGAGAGGACAATTAACCAGTGGAACAGCTTGCCTTCAGATATTGTGGCTGCTTCATCACTGGAGGTTTTTAAACAGCAGGGCTGAACTAGAAGATCTCTAGAAGTTCCCAGCTGTATTCTGATTCCTCTATTCTGATATAAATTGTGACTTTTTTGAAGGAGGATCATGAGTCACTCATTGCCTTTTGAGTGGGTGCCAGGGATCACACCCCAAAAATTCAATAAAGTGAGGATGAAAAGTAATTGTAATTTGTGGGAACTTGGTGCTTGCTAAGCTTGGTTGTTTTCTTGCAGGCATTTCATGACCCAACTAGGTAACATTATCAGTGCTAGAGAGGAGTGGAATTTGCTCTCTTTGTATGTACTAGTAGCTTGCCCTGTCAATGTTGGTGAGAGTATTGTTGGTGATTGCTTGATCAGGCTGTTGTTCACTGTTAGCTTATTTGTCTGTTAGCTTATTGTTAGTTCCTTGATTGGGGTATTGTTTACTTCTTGATTGTTTGTCTAGAGTTAATCCTGATGTTAATCTCTGCTCATCTGGATGTTGATTGCTGATGAAATGTTTTGGCCAAGAAAACAACCAAGCTCAAAGAACACCAAGGGCTTCACAGTTCACCCTAAACTAAAAAAATATAATTTAATTGAATGTGTTTCTAGGCAAATTAAACTAAAAACAGTTAATGGCTACTTTTGTGTAGTTTTTAACCCTCCTCCCCACCTTTCTGTTAGATTAAGTATTTCAATTTGGTGGACTTATTATTTATTATTATTATTATTTATTAAATTTATATACCGCCCTATCTCCCTTACGGGACTCAGGGCAGTGAACAGGCGATACTAAAAACCACGATAAATATACATAAGTTTCTGTTCTAAAATCAAATTAAATAACAGGCCTGCTCTAAAAACACCCCATACAAAACTCCCACTAAAACATAGTCAAACTACGCCAGGCCGGCTGCACGGAATAGATGGGCCTTCAGGGCTCGGCGAAAAAGGCGCAAGTCCGCAACTGTACGTAGGTCGGGGGGTAGGTCATTCCAGAGGGCAGGAGCTGCCACAGAGAAGGCTCTCCCCCTGGGGGTCGCCAGCCGGCATTGTCTGGCCGACGGCACTCTAAGGAGGCCCTCTCTGTGGGAGCAGACTGGTCGAAGGGAGGTGTTTGGTAGGAGGCGGTCTTGCA